ATGCCCTGGGGAAGAAGAGAGAGCGAGAGAGAGAGAGAGAGAGAGAGAGAGAGAGACGGACCACACCCGATTTCAGCCATAGTGCCCAAGCTAGTCGTGCAAAGCTTCTCCACTGCGAACTCGCATCGAGCTGAGCTTTTGGGCGCCATCATCACACGCAAGGCACTCAACCCTAGCTTACCAACGAGGTCCTGTGAACATGGCTTTCGACGAGGCAATGCACGAAATCTTTCTACACTTGGAAGAGCAGGTGGGGGAGAGAGCTGAGACTCCTGAAGGGGTTAGGCACATATGGAAGCCTCTAAATACGTTTTAAAGACTCGAAAACCCGAACCAACGGCGACCAGGTGGGGACAATGGCAGCGGCTGAGGGCGGTGGGGGCGGTGAGGGCGGTGAGGGCGGAGGGGGTTTGGGCACAGACTCGAAAACCCGAACCAAGGGCGGCCAGGTGGGGACAATGGCAGAGGCTGAGGGCGGTGAGCGGTGGGGGCAGTGAGGGTGATGGTGGTGACGACGTACAGTGGCTGGGCGAAGCGCTGAGGGCGGTGGGGTGGACGAAGCGCTGAGGGCGGTGGGGGCGGTGAGGGCACATTGGACGCTTCTAAATACTTTCTGAACGACTTGAACACCCGAACCAGGGGCAGCCAGGTGGGGACAATGGCAGAGACCGAACCAAAAGCGGCCAGGGGACAATGGCAGAGGCGGTGAGCGGTCGGGGCAGTGAGGGTGATGGTGGTGACGACGCAGAGGTTACACACAAACACACCCGCACCGTACTTGGTTTTTAGCAGCTATATAGTTCTTGCTTAAACACCAAACGAGTGTTCAAGCAAGTATAAGCCAGCATAAGTTAAGTATTCAGCACATATCAATGAAGAAAGCATACAGCGAGCATTTCGGCGTTTGAAGATGTACGAAGAAGATTTTAGACAAGTCAAAATGAAGTCCAAGTTTCTCCAACATTCCAAATTCCAACATCTACAAACTCCAAAACAAGCACTCCAAAAAAAAAGCACAAACCACGAAGCCAAGCTGTGGAGTTTCGGAATTATAAACAAACATTGCAAACTTCTCCAGGTGTTTTGCGTTGTTGGAGGTACTGTGATAAGAAACGTTTCGATTGGAATATGGAAATCGCAATGTTTCTCCCCAGATCTCCCCAGACTCTTTGGAGTTGCTTGAATGGTTCTGGAATTGATTTCCACCGACAAATTGGTAGATTCGAGGCGTTTCCACGCAAGAAAAGATTTGTTATAGATAGGTAGAGAGAGAGAGAGAGAGAGAGAGAGAGAGAGAGAGAGAGATTTTATATATATATATGTATATATATATACATATATATATATGTATATATATATACATATATATATATGTATACATATAAATGTATTTATAGATATGTTATGTTCGTCTGTGTGCATAATCAAGTATTGCTAGGTCCGCTAGGTCACCGTCGTCCGAAGACGGACCATGTAGTTCGCAAAACAGGCAAGGTCCGCGTAAGGTGGGTGAGGTGACCATATTGAGCTGTTGTATGCATTTGCGCATTTATTCATTCATGTATTTGTTCATATTTAGGTATCTATAAGTATGTATGTGCGTATAGATATATCTATATATATATATGTGCCCCCTTGCACTGGGTCCCTGGATCTAGTGTTGTTGTCTTGACGAATTCAGTCAGTCTTGACGATCCATTGCAGACGGTAGCCCGGTAGCGAAAAATTCGTGCGCTGAGGTCAGAAGCTCAATGGGCTGACATGCTCCGATCACCAGCATGAGAACTGCATCTTCGATGAGTTGTCGATTTGGGAGCTTTACTTAGGTGCCTTGGCTGCGGGGGAACGGGTTCAGGTCTGGTGGGTTTGTTTTGACGCAGGGCGGGGCATTTCCGTATGTTCGATGTTGCAGAATCGCAGAACTCAGCGATCAGCCACGGAGTCACGGAGGTCGTCGGCATCTTCCGGAGATCAGCTGTCGGAAGTCGAAGACCTGTGAATTGTTGTGCAGGTATGCACGTTCGACTGCATTTCACCTGGCTTACCTTGATGATCCTGTGGCGATTTGGCAGGCGAGACGGCATGTTCTTCGTAAGTTCCTCCCCGAAGAGGGAGGATTCGTGTTCTTTGGTCGTAATTTCGCTGTTCACCTCTTTTGGATGAGTTTCCCTGCTTCTCCCCTTGCAAGCCTGGGTGCTACAGCTTCGGATTGCCGCAGTGCTTTGCACCATGGGCTAAATTGAAGAGTATGTTTGAGCCAGGTTGCATCGGAAAGGAGCTTGGATTTGGATCGGGGATCGGATGCTGCTCAAGGGCTGCGATGGCATCGCTGAGGCCACCACGACATTCACCGAATGTTTGCCCAGCGGCTACACTCCTTGTTCACGGTTGCATTTGCCGAGGATATACGCAACGCTTGTACTGTAGAGCATGCCCGGTAGGTGCAGAGGGCCAGCGAGTTCAACACTGTCCAGGTTCATGTCCCTGGCTGATGGCGTTGATTGTCCGGAGAACATGCTGGGCTGTGTTACGTTTTTCTACACCTTCGAGGCAGGAGACAGTTCTGCAGGGCCGGCTCCACGGCTGAAGCAGATCAATCACAACGGGTTCAGCATGGGCACAAGAAGCTGTAAACGGATGCGACTGTCCAGCAGCCACGCACCTGGGAGGCATTCTGGCGCATCTGGCACGCCTCCATGAACCGCTTTATGCTCCGATATCTTTATGCCGCTCCTCATTGAATTTGCCTTCAGGGTGCATCTAAAGCCTGCGACGCTGGACTAGGCAAGAACTGCCTTTGCGTGCCCGAGTCAAGCTCAACAGGTTTCTCATGCAGTTCTTGCAAAGGAGCCGCCCTCCCTCGCTGAAACTGGAAACTGCTCCGACACGTGCTAGGTAAAAGTGAGTGATTGCTCACAGCTCCTGCAGCTCGTCAGTCTTGAGCCTGCTCGGACAGCTTAGCGTTGAAAGAAGAGGCAAGTAGTTGACTTTCGGTTGAGCTCGCTCATTAAGCCAGGTTCCTGTTGGTGGGAAGAAGCGCAGTTGGCTGGCGGTGCCCATGGTCTTCGGCTTTGTCGCTTACTGGCAGCTTGGTGCAGAGCTTTCCACGCTTGCCGCATCGTCCATATCAATGAGAGTTTGCGCAACGGGGCGGTGTCGGGGTTTTGAACCACAGGGCCCATCGGAAAGCAGAAACAGCTTTGGGGCGGGGTCAGCCTGAGCCAGAACTGCAGCTGCGGGAGGCCCAAACTGAAAGGTATGAGAGGCAAACGCTCGGTCTCCAGGCACGAGAGCACGGGGTTCCTGACTCGGCCGGCCTGGTATGCCTGGGGCCTCTTGACTTGTTCATAAGGACCTCTTGTACAGGCATCTCATGTGCGTAGACGCCACTCCCAGGATTCCTGAATGCCTTCGGCGTAACTGCGGAGAAAGCCTTGGCCACCACCGTGGGAAGGCAGTTGGCCAAGGGCGAGGTGCGACCTACTGCAGCCTTCAGGCTTCAGCTCAATTTTATGCTACATTCGAATTCCGAAGCTGTTTCTGAAGGGTGCTGCTTAGAAAGATCCTGCATGAGGGCTGGGGTTCTTTGTCGAAATGCAGAGCGTGGCGAGTTCGTCGTTTCCTGGCAGATGCCATCATGTGATGCACATTCGTTCGAAACCGCATTTTGGACACCCGATATCTCTGTCACAGCCCCTGGTGCTCGTCGTGAATCGTACACATCCTGCTCCATACCGTCGGAGGGACGCTGAGCATCGTGACCTTCGGCACGCATGAAGCCAAGACTTGGAGAAATCACTGCATGCTTTCTGACCCTGAAGGCAGATGGGAGTTGGCTCGCTTGCATACTGGTCTTCCTGGGAAAGGGTGTAGGCCCTATTTTTCTGCACCTTGTCTGGCAGGACAAGCATCCAGACTTTCTTGCGAAACAGTCAACTTGCTAAACCGCATGCAGCACAGATAGGGCCTTTCTTTGGCTGGCCATGCTTACAGGCTTACCACCCTGCAGCAGAGCCGGCGGCACGACTGTCGCAAAACGCAGAAGCACATAATCCTGACGGATGCCTCATCATGCAAACACAACAAGTGTCAACGTTCCTGCCTTACGTGCACACAAGAGACACATTTGTCAAACTCTCCAGCATCTAGGATTAATGGCGTCGCATCCAACAGTCGCAAGCTCTCGAAGGCCTCTCGGTAGGAGTTTGCTTGTTTGGCTCCCTCCGGAGCAATCAAGGATTCTGGTGAACGTCCCGGCCATCTTTTACGAGAACTCCTGGAAATTTTACATGAGCTTTTTCAACCGAGGCTGGGAGACAGCCTCCAAGCCGCACGCAGAAAGAATAGCCCAGCTGCGGTTTCGAATGCATCGGCAGGTGAGATTACACCTGCCCGTGCATGAACGAACGAACAAATGCGCATGAACGAACGAGCAGATGCATGAAGCGGTGGATGGAGGGATAAGTTGATGTAACGTGGTGTATGCAGGATGAATCAATGTATTTATACATGTATGCTCGCATGCATGCTTATCCTGGGATCTCGATATGCATAGGTACCACAGCTGTGCGTGTTCCTATATTTACCAGGGTTTGAAAGGGTGTTGCTCAGTAGCTGCGGTGCTGTGCGCTGTGCACTTGCATGGGGCCTGTACTGTAGGCGTTGCTGCTGCGCTGCTGTCGCCGTCGTTGATTGGTGCTGTTGCTGCCGATCTAGTTCGCTCAAGCCCAACCTTCTATGACGGCAATGCTTGACGAGTGGCATCGCAAAAAGTGGGTCGCCCTCTCCACAGGCTGACAAACTGGCGTTCTCGCTCTGTCCCTCAAAACCGCTAAATTACTTGGGTGTTAAGTGTTCTATAAGCCATGCATCGACAAGCTGTTTTTACGTTGCCGTGTATGCAAGGCATGTAACGTCGCGCCTGAGTTTGCGTGTTTATTTGCCTGGCCTGTACGGCCGACAATTGGCCCCAAGCAGTGCTTTGCGAAGTTGGTGTTTCTGAAGGCAGGAGGGTGCGGTGGGCATGAGCGGGGACGATCCACTTCTCTGAAATCTTTTCATGAATGCGCTTATGGATCGGGGCATTTGCTGTGTGTGTGTGGGGCGAAACCGAAACAAGGCGAAGGGGAGCGGATGGGAGGGGAAGAAGAGAGAGAAGGATGTATGTATATGCGACTGCTGTTGCTTGTGGAATAGTACAGTTGTCACAGGTGCAACGAGGTCAAGCACACTTGTGAGCTGCCATAATTTTTTGTCAGCTCGAATGCGACCGGGGTTTCCGCCATTGCTAAACCATGAGCAACGAGATAGGGCCACGGCCTACTCGGAAATTGCTTTCTCGGCCAATGGAACAAATAAGCACCACGGCTCAGATAGATAAAAATTAAATGGGTAGAGACAAATAGATAGACAGATAGATGGATGCATAATTATTGATTGTCATTCATACATATATATATATATATACCTGTATACATACATACATACATACACGCGCATTTTCCTTGATTTGAGTATGTAGTTCTCTCCATGTGTACGTGCGTATGTGCTTGTATGCATGCATGCATGTTCGATGCATGCATGTATGTATGCATGCATGTACATGTAGATAATCACGGTCTGCCGCGCAGTGGACTTTCGCCGGAAACCTCCGCCCTCAGGCTGATGAAAGTCAGCGGGGCCACAATCTTTTCTCGTTACACACTCACACACAACATAACATCTATGCATCATTAGGTATCCTAGATCGTAGCATGCGTGAACATGTGTCCGCCAGCGAGAAGTGTGGGGCTGCAAACGTTGGCCAGAACAAGGTAGTTCTGTTGTGGACACTAGTCCTCACCTTCGGCTGCACGGCCGTGCTGGTGGATGCTTTCCGGGAAGAGGACGCGCAGCCGATCCAAGCCGTGTTGAGCCAAGATTGCTTCGTGTCTCATATTAAACTGCAAGCAAAGCTGCTCGACGATCACGCCACGCATAGGTAGCTTCAGAGCGCATACGCAGGAGACGACGCCCCAGCGTGCTCCACTCACATCTGCACGGAGGGTTCCCGAAGATCTCGCCGAGCTCGCGCCTGGTCAGCAGAAAGGTCAGCAGAAAGCTGTAACTGCATTCCCCGAAGCACTTCCGAATTCTGATCGCTTGGGGCGTGTGTGTTGCTGCCGCAACAGTGGGGTTCCCGCAAGAGTCGGAGCTTGTAGCCCACGAAGATTGCATTGATGCTGGCGGCGCAAGATTCTGTCAGGGCAGGCGCGTCAGTGAGTTATTCGGTCTTTGGCTGGAAAGCCGGCGAAACCGCATGCCGTGGTCTGAACCTGGTTTTAATCCTAGCATAACAACTAGTGACTAGTGCGGGCGACTGTTAAGCAGGCTGTAGCAACTGGCCGAAACGGGGCAGGAAGCCGTTCAAGGGAACATCAAGAGTTCATCGCAAGCTTCGGGTCACGACGCTTCAATCTTGTGGCTTGGACTTTTTGTAAACCTATCGGGCTTCTGCACACAGCCTTTGTGTCGATAAGGAGATTCAGAACTCTGAGTCCTGGCATGGACGATGACCGTGGTCTAGCGGAATATGGGACGATTGCACACCGCATTGCTTTTCATGGAAATTCTGCAACTCGGTCGGGTAGTGTTCTGGAAGCCGGAACGTTGGAGAGTCTGTAGGACGCTCGGATTCGCAATCTGCTTCCCCGGTGCCGGTCAAAGAACTGGCGTTATGTTGCAGCCAGGGTTTTGCTTCTCCGGAACACCTGGTTAAAGTTGTCGTCCCCCAGACCACGCATGCAGATCCTGCAGGCACTTGTAAGTTGACAGATCAAAGAGAAGAGAGTGGGAGGGAGAAAATATTTATTGGGCCTATAAATCTAACCTAGTAGGTTCATATACACACATATGTATACATACATATATATCTCTCTCTATATATATATATACATATGTATATGTGTATATACATAGATATACATGCATCCATTCATTCATTCATTCATGCATACATACATACATCAATGTGTATATATATATATATCCTGATATTCTGACTGCGTCGAGTGCGAGAAAATGTGTGTTATGTATGTATATATATATATATGCACATAAAGATTCTGGCAGAGAGAGAGGAGCAGCGTGTGCACAAAGGGTAAGGGGTTCGGCATGCCTTCTGAGCCTCAGACAGAGAGAATAAAAGGGAGAGAGAGGGAGCGAGAGCGAGAGACTGGATAAAATGTTGTGTAACGCGGTGCATTAAAAGCTCTGTTTTTCCACTTTTGCATGTTGTCATATTTGCTTGGTAGCGCTTTTCTCTTGTTGTAAATGTTATGCGCTGATTTATATTATTCGGTGTTCCCCTGTGTCCTGGTATTTATAACGTTGCATGAGCGTATATACACTTGTACACGATGAAGGTGTCATAGGACGTGTACCCATTTTATAAGTTGGTGGATAGGTAGACTAGATGGAAAACAGCTTGCTAGATGGATAGACAGATAGATAGATAGATAGATAGACAGGTAGATATGTTTTGATTATGCATGTGCCGCCAACTACAATTTCCAGAGATAGACTTCGCTCCTTTGCTGAAAATTGTTCCGTTGCGTCAGTGAAGCCTTGAGACTGCACTGTCTACCGGCGTTTGAAGGATCTTGCCCGGGGCCGTGGCAAGGTGGGAAAAGGATCCCCCAGACCGAGCTGCAGCTCTGGAGCGGAATGGCTTATGCACGAATGCGCATCTCAGCAAGCCATGTGTGGCTGTCTGGCGGGATGACCTGTCATGCCCAAAGCAGGCTGATGGCACGCGGTGTGAGGCAAATGGCTTACCGATGACCGAAGCCCCGGAGCTGAAACAACAAGCCCCCAAACAGGTTGGAGATGTCAGCTCACCACCAAGACTTCTCATCATGATCGGCCAGCTCACTTGAAGTTTCTTCGGGTCCATACCAGGCTCAGTTGTAAAGATCTCTGAAGTTGAAGGCAACAAATACCTCACACCGCCTCCTCCACTACGTCAGTTATGGAGAAATGGAATGGGATCGACCTGTTTCGAGTTGGCAGGGTTTGGCTCATTTGTATGATATTTCGCTTCCTGTTTGTGGAATTCTGCGGACCTCACCCGCTTGCTGCGGCCATCTGGGCCAGCAGCGCTTCCGAAGTTCCCAGGTTCGCACATGCTTCTCGCCACCTACGAATCCACGGCATGCTGCCTTTGGGATGTGCCAGGCGCCCAGCTTGCAGACGAGCCATAAGACCGTGGGCAAACACATTGAAGGCCCAAGAGCAGAACCCGGATCTGGAATCTCAGAGTTTGTTGGGCAATCCGACTTGCCTAGTTCAAAGGTAGGCCATCATCTCTTCGTCGGAGGGCACCTTTGGAAACCCCTGTGTCCAGCATTTCAAGAGTTGAAAGCAGCTTCTTGAAAGCATTTAGGTAGTATCCGGCTGTTCGTAGGCACATCGTGCAGTGCGGTGCACAAAGACGACATTCCAGAAGGCGAGGCAGGCGGGGTCAGAGGATGTGTGGTAAACCTGATCCCGATCTTGCGCATGCAGTGTTTCCCGTAGAAGGGCATGATGCTAACCAAGGCGCTCGCCACGCCAGCCACTGTTCTCCTGCTATGCAGGAGATCCTCAGAGCCGGAAGCCTGGGCGAATCCAGAAGTACAGATAGCTGAAGTCAGGAATTGGTCCTTGAATTCCGTTGTCTTTACTGCATATGTGTGACCGTGAGGGGTCGCTGTCGAGAGCGACCATGTACTGGAAATCTAGACAGTGCTCCATGCTGCCAGCTCGTCTCCTTTCATGTTGCTGGGTGCGATTGAATGGTTCGCTCATTGACGGACTTTCTGGACACCGTCGCCCAATCTCCAGCCTGATGCGGCACTCAGTGTTCTGTATTTCTGGCCTGTCACATGCTGCCTGGAGAGTCGAAAACGATGTGCACCGCTTCCAAGGTCCAGCCATCTGCTCTGCAGTGTTATGGCGGAAGGATGGACTTATAGAACCAGGGATTTCTGCTCATCCGGCTGCGAGCGGTCTCATGGCCTCACGTCAGAAGGCAGGCAAACAGCTGCGGCAAGGCGTGGGTCGCCTGCGCTGGTGGCCGCATCAGCCAAATACGACTTCGCGCGGATGGCCTGGCCGCTAGCACCCACGTGGGGCTCGGACTTCTTGGGTTCGGACTGTGGGGCTGAATGAAACGGATATGGCACTAAACATTTGGTCTTTGTAAGTTTGCAACGAGTTCGGGGGACTTGCATTCGTCACGGGAATCACGGATCTTTGGACATCTCAGTCTGTCGGCGTGGTGTTCTCTCATTCCTGCACCCGGGACAAAGACAAACGACAGTTCATGTGCTCCTAGATGGCCAGCCAACAGAGAGGAATCAATCCCTGAACTGCCGCCGATGGGTTTCTTTTGCTCCGAGCTTCAGCCCCGCGGCTGACCGTTGACAAGCTCTGATAATCATCGCGCCTCTGCATAGTGAAGTTGTGAACCTCCAACAATGGTTTGTAATCGTCCTAGCCACGCGGGAGTCAAAAAATCGCACCTCTAGGCAGCGCAAGCTGGAGCATCGAGCCCATATTTCAAGGTGCTTGCACTGCTCACGGTAGGAAGGTGATGGACCCATCTCGATCTGCCTTGGGGCGGACATCATGCAACGTTGGCAGACAGCAGCAGCAGTGATTCTGTGCATCCTCGGCACGTCCACGGCCGACGATGACAGCTGGTGCGCAGATGTTGAATGCGTGCAGGATTCGGGCTGGCAGCTGCTATTCTAGTTCCAGTCCAGGAGCCTGTTCAAGTTTTCTTAGTGTCGACATTCTACCCAGCACGCGACATCTTGCTGCCACCTCAGGTTTGTGTCTGCGTGCCGGAAGCAGCTGGTTCGAAACGTGCATTACTGGAGGTGCCTCGGAGACTGGCTTGGGGCTGCCGCGGGGTTCGAGATTAGGACTGTGACCCGAGAAGGCATGTTGCCATGTTTGCAGAGACTGTGAGGAGCGTCTGGCGTGGATCTGATCATAGCTTGTCGTCCGTAGGATTTGTGTTGAGTTTGAGGGTTCAGGGATCTTGGGTTCTGGGATCTTCTGGCTAGTGACGGCTCGTGGTTCGGGCAGCAATGGGTGGCAAGGATGTAACGTTTAGACAGTGGTAGATACAATTAGATGTGTTCTAGTTGACTGCCGCAGACTTCCAAACTAACAGCTTGCACCTACACCAACTGCTGTTGGCTAAGGTCGCTGGCACTCAAACGACGAAAAGCACATAGTCCAAGAGGGCTCAGAAGTTCCAGATGCAGGCGTACCATTAAGATGACCAGAAGAACTGCTTGGAAGTCGCAAGATTTGTGCCAACCGAGGCGGCAGCAAAAATCAAGATTTGTTTTCTCGTCCCTGCTATGCTGGACAGTTTTTGGAGCAGGTCGCTCCGGCCAGGCCCGAAAACACCCTCTGGGACAAGACGCTCGAGTCCAAGAAAGAAGAGGCAGCAAGAGCAGCAACAAAACAAAGACGCTTAGCAGGGAAATGGGGGAGTCGGTCTTTGCACACGCTACGAAAGAGAAAGAGGACATAAGAGCGAGATACAGCGCAGGAAGGAAAGATATTAGAATGCAAGCGACACGACCACGCGGTAGGGGATAGATGGGGAGAAAATTAATTCTAGATGATCACAGGTATGGCATTGTTCCTTGGGACCACAGGTCTAGACGGAGGAAGCTGTCCAAACCAACTACAAGCGAGTGCAGTCCCGGAGAGGAACTGTTTCAGCAAGGCCAAGGAATTCTTCCAGATTCGTCGCGATGAGCCAGATTCCCACCAAGGAAGCAGAAACGCGAACATCGAGTTTTTTCCGGTTTCGTTTCGGGTCCAGACTGTCCTTATGCATAGTTAATCGGCATCCAGCAGTTCAGTGCTGGCCGGACCAGGTCCCGAAACACATCATTAGTATTCGCTAAACAGTCACCTATCCTCAGCAGCATCAGCGACACCAGCTTCGTTACTGTTCGCATCGGTTCTGGCTGATTGATTGGCAGTGGGCTTGCAGCCTGACATGTTCAGTCAGTCTCCGCGAACTTACCAACTTACCAGGGGACCTGCCACGCCCAAACCTGCAGTAACAGAAGAGGCACAAGCATGTCCAGGCTGGTCGGTGCTGCAGGCACCGCAACTTGCACATGGACACAAGTACCAAAGCAGACTGCGTGCTTAGGTACACACACGAAAGCTTGGCACTGCCAGCTTTGGTTGCCATTGGACCACAGGTGAAGGACTCCTTTAGCCCAGACAGTGGACGGTCTTTTGATGTCTCTTGCGAAACCAGCCGGTGAATTTCATTCTTGGTTAGTGTGGAGCAGTCCTGTCAGAGCAGTCATGCCTCAGTATACTGCTGGGTAACATCCGTGCTTGGTGCAGGATGTTTTGGTCGTTGGTGGCGCAGATGGGGGCGCCTCACCCTTCTAGCGAGCTGCAAACCTTCATTTTTCTTTCACTTTGTGTTGATGGAATTCGGTTTTTGTGAACACTTTGATTTGGACGTTGTGTTAGATTCCAGCAGGCATGGTTCCTGCGGCTTGCTGCAGCCTTCGTTGGCACTGAAGTTGGGCATCCGGCCTGTGCACTCAGGCGTGGTCAACCTATTCTTGCAGAGCCGCGATGTGCAGTCGGTGACCTGGGTGAGCCACCTCACCCAGGCAGGGGGCTTCTTACAGTGATCTTTGATCTATACCGGGCAATAAGTAGCTATGTCTGATGTCTCAGTCTTGCACACTGACCTCTCGGGGTTGTGGGTTTCAGGTGAGGCCTAGCTCGGCATTGGCAGAACGGTCGCGACACAGATGTTGGTCACAATCGATGAACTTCCGCAGGGTGGGGAGAGGATCCCAAAGAGAGGGGCAAGCGACTAAAGTTGATTAAACAGCACGAATGTAGGAAGGAGTGAAGCCACATGCGCGAAGGGATTGATTGAGTTCCGTGCAAGGGGTAGAGGGCTACCCTTGCCTCAATTCTACTCCGCATTCGTGTTTGTGTGTGCGGGGTTTCGATCTCTTGGCGGCCGAAGCATAAGCCCCAAGTCTCAGCCCAGCGTCCAAGAAGAATTGGTTTCATGCGAAGGCTGAACCCATTTCTCAATTTCTGCCACGAACCGAGATCAGATAGTCAATTCCTGGGAAGGTGACTGAAGTTGCAAGATGGTGCATGCCCTCACTCGTGAAGCTTCTTGGCATCGTCTCAAGTGTTCATCTCGTGCTGGCGCATGTTACAGATTCAGGTGCAATGCAATCCATGGCTTTTGACCCCAGACCACAGATACCGCACTTTGCGTCCGACCCGGGGGAGGAGGGCCATGCCCTGCTGCTTTGTTTTTTATTGGTAGGTTTGCTGCACCATTTGGAGCTTGCTGAAGCCTGCCTCTGACCCCAGGCTCAGTGATGAGCGCCTGCACCGGCTGACCATGAACAGCGACGCCGGGTTGATGCAGGCTCGTCAGCCTGCCGCCATGAAGCCCAGCCCATCCTAAAGAAGGTATCTATGGTTTGTCTGCGAACAACCATGCGCCCAAGGATCTTCAAGAGGAGCAGATTCTAAGTCGGTTGCGAAGTGCGACGTCATGCCTAGAGAGAGGTCCGCGCCAACAACTTGTGTTTGCGCGGGGAGGTCGCATCCGAATCCTGGAAGACCAAGCAATTCGATATCATCGTCTATGATGCTTCATCCTTGCAGGCACGCCCGTGGGTGCAAGGCTGCAGAGAGACGCACCTGCATCCTAGGCAAAAAATGCTTAGACCTTTTGGATCAATCTGACAATCTCCCCCGACATGTTTCTGGTGCAGGTGGAGGAAAAGCCGTTGAAGAAGGTGTATTTCCAGCCTGCAGAGATCCAGAAGCTTCGTCGCTCGAGCAACCATGGTGTGTGCCGGAAAGCTGAGGGATTCTTGCTGTATCCAATATGCCAGCACGGACTTCTGTTGAAGATTCTCCGACAGCTGAAGTAGAATCTCTCAGGTAGGACATTTTGCGCGAATGGGATCTGAGCTTGCAGTTGCTTCTTGTAAGCATCCTCGCTCCTGGCTTTCCCGATCTAGTACCTCGACATGCTCAAGTACACGTATGTCGGTATCGTCAATTAATATGCCATGGTCATCGGGTGAAGTGGTGCGACGGAACCGCATGATATGCCATGCCGTCACACTTACTTCGGTTCTTCGGCCAGCAGAGCATGCATCGAAGATCAGCTATCCACAGAGCCGAGCTCACGAAGTCAGCACACTGGTACTTGCACAGGAAACACGGGCCGCGCACTTCGTGTTTGCATCGGTTCCCGGTAAAGTCCAACAAACACGGCTGTCAGCCATGCCCAATAGAGTCGCAGATGGCAAGTGCAACGTCGTCACCGGGAGAATGTTGAGGAAAGTCAGCCGAGCCCCATCTATGAGACAAGACCACTTCGAGACTTGAGAAACATCCGGGAACAAGCAAGCGATCCCCCCTACATAGGACCAAGAAAGTCGAAGATTCCAGTCTGATTTTGGAGCGAGTTGTCTTCAAGCCCCGATCGCTTCGAAATGTTGGCCAGCGCGTCGCTTCCAGGTGAGCTCCTCTCTTCAAGTGGTTTGCTCGTCGCTTCTGCCGGCATTCTGCGAAAGCCTCGCAGCCTCCAGGACGTGGCCTGATAGCTCGAGGTTTGATACTTTTCTCGCAGCAGCAAAAAAGCGGCATGATTTTTTGAGGCAAGCCGATACAAGATCACGTTGACAACAGGCGGCGAGTCAATTCTACACTTTCTGGCAACCGCAAGATGGCTCATGCTTCCGAACTCCGGGCACGCAGAGCAGACTGAGCCACGAACAAAGCCCGCGATCGTAGGACAGACGCCCTGCCTGGACTGCTTACGCATGAGTTCCTGAAGCTCTGGAGTTTGTAGAGTGTGTTCGACGTTGACCTAGAGCAAATGGGAAGGCAAGTACATGCGGAGAATTTGCGAAAGCAAGTTCCTTGGACGAACTTTTCCGCATCTGGGAGGACGCATATTCAGTCTTGAAGCACTCCTTCCGGAAGATTTGGTCACTGCAGCACTCGGCGCCGGACAACAGCCCGGAGCAGGGGCATTCTGTAGCACCTTGGTTGAGTTC